ATATACGGGGTGTTCCATTTGAAAAATCAAAGAAGCCGCTACTTTATAGTAGAAGCGACAACGCCGCTTCATCTAAAATATTTTAGGCGTGTAGGTCATATTGACTTATGCATACTGTGGAATTTTCAGGTTGATCCGTTGAATAGTTTGCAAGAAACGGTTAATTAACACTCATCATGAAAAGCCCTGTATATTCATTTCTGACTTAATAATATACGTCATTTAAGAGGTTGTATAGCTATTGCATCAGCTAACATATATTTTATTTTCGTTAGGTACATAGCAAATATGCAACGAAAGTGTTTTACTAACCCTGACAGTTTTGTTATGTGTGTGAAGAATCAGCTTTTACATTCCAGCGTCGAAATTTTACCCCATTAATTGAACAGTGCTTTTAACAATATTTTGGATTTACTGTGCAGCATCAAGATAAATTCTGGGTCCCAGATAAATTTTGTGTAACGTGTGTGAGACTCCTATTAGGTTGGGCTTTTATTTGAGTCAAAGAAAAATAAAAGGCATTACAACGAGGTCCAAACATACTATCCAGTATCCAAACTTGTCTTCGGCCAACAGACCCATCCTACATAGTGCCGAACTGCTTCTGCAAAAGCCTCCAAATCGATCAGAAAGTCGGGAGTCAAGTCCGACAGAACTTGTTATTTTTATTTGATTTGGACTACATGTTGATTACACAAACTTTTGCTGTTTTATTTGCGAATGGGACAATAATGGGACATTTACTTAATAGAGAAGCGTTATCAATGGAAATGGAGCCCAGAAATGCTAGCAGATTATTGTTGGAAACTCAGGAGTGACATACCAGAAGGCAAATATTCACGAAAATCATAAATATTCATTGTACAGTAAGTAATAATTTCTCTGATTTGTAATTGATTTTTGTAATTTTCACAAATATATGTTTTGATGTCAAGACAAAAACCTGTTGTGTCAATTTTTTTTCATTGATACAATATTGGTTAGTGACCCTAATAGATTCAAAGTTTGATACAAGTTTTCATGTGACAAAAAACAGTTAAAATTTTGTTGACCAGTGCAACTGAAAGATAGTAAAAGGTGGACTGTTAAAAATAAGGCGAATGTTCAAATTTCGCGGGCGTACATTCGATTAGAAATTATTTTATGTTGGTACACTCGCCTCTGGAATATGTTCACAGTTTCAGCTATTTAGCATGTTCAGTTTGTTGGTGAGAGGCATAAAAGTGAGAAGTCTTTTGCATGTTCGTCGATTTTCTGCTATCAAAAAAATTAATCAAAGAATTTGCATAACATTTTATATAAAAAACGGAATGAAGTGCTCAAAACACTCGAAATGTTGACAGTGGCATACGGTGATTGTACTCCGAGTTAGAAACATGTTTGCAAGTGTCACAAGTTTTTCACAGAAGATCGAGAAGATGTAAATGACGACACTTGCCCTAGACGACCCAGCACATCAACAAACCGATGAAAATGTTGGGGAAGTGAGGAAAATTGTTATGGAGAATCGCCGAATCACGATTGGAGACGTTGCTGAGAATGTCGGCATATCGGTAGCAATCTGGCAATTTTGCTAGTTTGTTGCAAATATTACTGATGTGGGTGGTCCAGGCAAGAGACGAGTCAAGATGAACTCCCAAAAATTTTATACTTTCTGATGTAGAAATGCCATCAGTGCGATAGTTTGAAAATCCACAAATTTCTGTTTTTGTTTCATTCATATACAGTTCATTAGAGTCAAACCACTGTTTAGCAGAGGCCCAAATATGTGTCGATATGTTATCAACATCACGGGTTCTATCTATATGTACAGAAAATGAAGTGTCGTCAGCGTATAATATTGTCAGTAATTCCAGTTTGAGATGCATATATGAAGGTAAATCATTAGCATAAATTAGGAACAGGAAATGCCCCAGTATGGATCCTTGTGGAACTCTCCTTTTGATAATACGTTCTTGACTTATCATATTGTTATTGTAAACTCTTTGTGTTCTGTAAGCTAAATGTGATTCAATTATTTGATATGGAATTCCTCTTATGCCATACCATTCTAATTTCTCCAACAGTTTATCATGACTGACACAATCGAAAGCCTTCGACAGATCTGTGAAGATAGTTAAATAGGATTGTTTATTTTCAAAAGCTTCAATAATGTTATTAGCTAATTTGTTTATAGTGTATATGGCACTTTTACCTTCCCTAAACCCAAACTGATGATTATGTAAGAAATTATTGCTTTCCATGTAGTTACTGAACTGTATTAAAATAGCTTTTTCTATTACTTTGGATAGGGTGGGCAATATGTGAATTTGTCTGTAATTCTCAGGTAATTTTTCATCTCCCTTCTTGAATATAGCTAGAACTTTGGCTGGTTTGAACTTGAAAGATTTATCTCGGCCCCAAAATGAAATTAAATCGTGAAATTTTCGTGCGATCATTTTTTATACAACTTTCGACGTGAATTAACTCAGCAACAGTGCATGGATNCGGAAGACGTACCTTTGAATTGAGCATTATTTCTGGCGCCCTGTACCATCGTGTTGCGACATACTCTGTAAGGAATCCTGTGTGATCGTGGTCGGGATCTGCAACTCGTGCTAAACCAAAATCACAAATCTACAAAAAACACCAGAAATCATGAAACAACAGTCAGTGTTGAACAAAAAGAAGAAAACTTACTTTGAGGTCACACGTGGTGTTCAGAAGTAGGTTGCTAGGTTTTAAGTCTCTATGAAGTACATTTGCCGAATGTATGTATTTTAATCCTCGGAGGATTTGGTAAAGAAAGTAACATATGTGGTCGTTACTCAGCCTCTGAAACAAAAAAAACACTTTAAAAGATGATGACGATGCCAACAACATAGTAAATACTAGATTGTTTCAAAAGTTTTGTCCATTTATATGAGTCTACTTTAAACTGTAACTGTATCGAAAAATATATAAAAACCCGCACAAATTCAGACAATGTCAGTGTGAAAAAACTGCCAACTAAAAGTAATGGGCATGATAATCAATCCTTTATGGTAGGAGTTGAACCCCATCTTAAGGAACAGATCTATGAGAGTAGCTTCTGGCCTGAAGGAGTGAGGTACAATCGCTTTAACTTTGAATTAGGTCAACATTTCCTGGATAATACACATCAATCTAGGTCTCAACATGAATTTCAGAGCCCCAACTCTTTTTTATAGAAAATGGGGGATACTCATTATCTGAGGCTCATTTCTGTATTACACACTTGAATACTAATGCAAGGATGACAACCAACGAAAATCAAATTGATATAGTACCATATGAACAAAATAAGGAATTATTAATTTTCTATATAAATGCTCAATCTTCAGCTAATTGAAACAACGATAAAAATTAAATAAAAACATCAATAAAAATTAATTGG